CATTAGGTCAGGAGTTCAAGACCAGCCTGGCCAACATGGTGAAACCCCGTCTCTACTAAAAATACAAAAATTAGCTGGGCGTGGTTGCGGGCACCTGTAGTCCCAGCTATTGGGCAGGCTGAGGCAGGAGAATGGTGTGAACCCAGGAGGCGGAGCTTGCAGTGAGCTGAGATTGCACCATTGCACTCTAGCCTGGGCGAAAGAGCGAAACTCCATCTCAAAAACAAAACAACAAAACAAAAAAATCCTCCAAAAGAAAATCTTACACACCACAGATTAGCACCGAACGCGCCCACGAACACCTTTGAATGGACAGTGGTCATGGGTGCTGGAAATTCCTGTGACTGCAGTCATAGCAATAATCTGAGGAGCCCAAAGTATGAAATATGAAAGATCCATTTTCTTCTTTAATGAGCTGTAAATTGAAGGGGAGAAGACTGTGTAAAATAAATATTCTATGTATTGCGTGACCCAGAATGTGAAAATGATGACAGAGCCATTTTTCTAACTGGGCAACATTTGGAATTGTCCAAAAATGTATTAAAGGTAGCTATCTCTTTAGGAAATTCAATTTTATAGAATTCATCAGTATCTTCTAAGGAATAGAAGACTGATCTGCAGTTATTCTAAAAAGGTTGACTTATTTTTACTGAATTTCACGGACAATATAGCTTTTTTTCTCTTGTGGTTTCATAAAAGGGAAGAACAACTGGAATTTATTAAATATGCCAAGCGGCTTCTGAGACTTAACTTTCTCTGTAGTGTTGTCCATTACAAAAGAAGAATTAGGCTGGGCGTGGTGGCTCATGCCTGTAATGCCAGCACTTTGGGGGGCCAAGGCGGGGAGATCACTTGAGGTCAGGAGTTCGAGACCAGCCTGGCCAACATTGTGAAACCCCATCTGTACTAAAAATACAAAAATTAGCCGGGAGTGGTGGCTGGTGCCTGTAGTCCCAGCTATTCAGGAGGCTGAGGCAGGAGAATTGCTTGAACCTGGGAGGCAGAGGCTGCAATGAGCCGAGATTGTACCACCGCACTCCAGCCTGGGTGAAAGATCGAGACTCTGCCTCAAATAAATAAAATAAATAAGTAAATGAATAAAAGAAAAACTAGAAAGGATAGCAAATTAGGAAACAGAGAAAATCAATGTCCATAATTCAACATCAAAGACATCATAACTAACATTATAATAGATTTGCTTATAGGTTTTTTTTTTTTAATTAGTAACAAGACACTTATTGAAAACTTATGGTTTTTGAGACTCTCTATGTATACCTCTGTGACTAAATATTAGATTTTTTTTCTCTTGCCTTCCTTAGGGGTAATATTGGGTACCTGAAATTGTACCCTATGGGTAACTCAATAACTTTTAGCTGTAGTACAAGAACCTGTTTTCACCTGCCTTTTGCTGTCAGCCAACCATTATAGGAATGGTCTACAGTTCACCAACCAAGATATTTTCCTTGCAAGCACATTTTTTTAAAAAAAGCCAGAATTTGACATAAAAATAGGTATTTGGAGAAAGAACATGAAGAAGGAGACAATCAGAAGAATGGGATTGCACGGAGACATCCTTGTAGAAGAAATGCTACAGGGAGGTGCATGTCTCTCAGAACACTCTTACCCACCTACAGGGTTGCCTCCAGGTATCTAAAGCTCAGTCTATCCTTGACACAAAAACCCTGCCCAGTGGAGTGGGTAGGTGCGTGGTGTGCACTCACCTGGGTAATGTACTGGGCGATGATGACCAAACTGACCAGCATGCTGATGTTGGCCAGCATGGAGAAGATGGTCAAGATCCTGAGGTTCCGGATGAGGACCAGCAGCACCAGGAAGGGCAGGAAGGAGAGCATGTAGAGTCGCGAGTCCATGGTGGGGATCAGAATCACCGTCTCATTGGAATGGCAGTTGTTGGTTGTGCTATTAACAGCTTCCACTACCTGAGGAAGGAATGGGAGAAGCAAAAAGGGGAGATGATGACTCTTCCAACCTCATGGTTGACTCAGTGCCTTGCCCCTAATCAAATTCCCTCACAATGAATGGGAGTGTCCCACAGTGCCAAATCTCACAGTGAGTTAGGGTGAATTTAGAACTTCTTCTGAACCCTCTGCACCATACTACCTCAGAAGAGGCTGAACAGGCTGGTCGCAGTGGCTCACGCCTGTAATCCCAGTACTTTGGGAGGCCGAGGCAGGTGGATCACTTGAGGTCAGAAGTTCGAGACCAGCCTGGCCAATATGGTAAAACCCCATCTCTACTAAAATACAAAAATTAGCCATGTGTGGTGGCACACGCCTGTAATCTCAGTTACTTGGGAGGCTGAGGCACAAGAATCGCTTGAACCTGGGAGGCGGAGGCTGAGGCACAAGAATCGCTTGAACCTGGGAGGCAGAGGTTGCAGTGAGCCAAGATCACACCACCACACTTCAGCCTAGGCAACAGAGTAAGGCCCTGTATCCAAAAAAAAAAAAAAAAAAAAAAAAAAAGTTGTACAAATAGTTAAAAAATAAGTGTAATACCAAATAAATAACTGGATTCACAGTGGCTATTTGTTACCTTTTAGCAACTAGTGTCCATTTCTCCTGATACCAGTTTGATTTTGGTGAGTTCTCTCTTGTCATTGAATGCAGTGTTGGAGGACTGTAAATCACAGTCATGTGGCAGAGCTAGGGGATTGATTAGCCTTTGGCTCAAGCTGGGGCATTCAGACCCTCTTCCAGGAGTCTGAATGTAAACCTAAAGCATAGGGACCTAAGGACGGACTAGAAAAGGGTAAAGATGAATTCCAATAGTGGATTCCTGAGGAGGCTGCTCATTAGTTCTACCATCTACATCCTCCTCGCTACCCTGGCTCCTGTTCTTCCCTCAGACCTGCTTTTTAATTTAGTGGAAGGTAATATCCTTCCATGGAACTTATTTTCTGCTTAAATTCCCTCAGAATTGTTTTTTTTTTTTTTTGGGTATAACCCAAAAGCTCCATCATTTACTGTTTCCTAATTAACACATACACTTACTGATTCCTAATTGGTACAATACTGGCATTTTAAATAAAAAACTCTTTCTTGTGTAGATTGGACCATTTGTTGCAGAACATTTAGTAGCCCTGGACCCCACCCAATGAAAGCCATGAGCATCCCCAATTACTGTGATAAACAAGAAGCCATCCCCCACTCCCCCACACAATATAAATACCCCCTTGTAAAGTCAGGGGTAGGTGGATGCTACCACCCTCCATTTAAAGTCAGCATGACCTAACTGATACCGTCTTATTGGACAAGCAATACAAATCACTGCAGAACAATTAGGAACTAGACTTTAGCAGGAGGAAAATGTAAATACATTGATAATCTCAGTACCAAGATGCTAACATCTTGGAAGATACTCATCTATATATTTTCTACACAATATCACAAATTACATATATTATACACATTCTTTTTATTTTACAAGACTTCAATCATAGCATTCACTTTTTTTTTGAAATGTCCCTTGCACTTAACAATACACCGTGGATACATAAATGAATCATTTAGGTATTGATTTTTTCTGATTCCTCACTACAATCAGAAAAATAACTGGAACATTAGCTAGGTACTCAAGGCCCTCCATAAATGGTCTCTATCAAACCTTCAAAGTTTCTTCCTCTCCCATGACCTACTCTTCCTCCTGTAACCAATTGTATTGCTTCTCCTGGGCAATCCCATAAGTTCTGCCTCCTGGTTTTCACTGATTCCTTCTCCCACCTTGGCTGCCACCACTTTTTTTCTCCAACCTGTCAGTACGCAGCTCAGATGCACCACCCCCCTGGAGGACGCTTTCCCTGCTCCAGTGATCTCTGCAATGTAGTTTGCACCCTGACCTCATGTTGTTGTTGTTAGTGGCATCCTGGCCTGGCACCAAAATATCATATTGATATTTAACTTATTAGGTTTTAGAACACACTCAACTTGGCCTGTAAACTCCTTGATACAGTGTTTGCCTTGATAATAAATGCAGATGATAAATAAATGCAGATAATAATAATTGTAGATGGTGAGTATAGGTCTGTACATGTCAGATTGCTTTCTAAAGAGCAATCTGGCAATGTTTTAAGAGCCTTCAAAACAATCAAACTCTTTGACTCAGTAATTTTACTTTAAGAAACATTAAGGAAATAAAGAAGTGCACAAAGACCTTTGTGCCAGCCAACAGATTATAGTAGAGAAACAAAGGGAAATAAGGGAAATGTCCAGCAACACAAGATTGATTAGGTTATGATCAATCTGTGTGATGGAATATTATGAAACTATTAAAAATTACATGACAAAATGTAAGGATATTGCAAAATGCTGACCAGTTAAGGTTACATTAAATTATAACCATGAATAATTGGATTAAGAGTAATTTTATTTTATTTTGTTTTCTGTGCAGAAGAAATACAGCATAGGTTTAAGAACTTGAGCACTGTTGTCAGAAGGCCTGGGTTTTAAAC